CTGCAGCAATGATCCTCTGACCGTACACAGCTGCAACACTTTCCGCAGCGAGACAGACTTCACGCTTTCATAGTTTCACAATAACAACGCAAAATCACCACCACGTGATGAATTATCTTGGGCGAGATATTGCAATGATTTGATTTCCTAGTGCATTTATCACGTGTTTGATGTTTCTGCCCTTGGTGGAAAAATGGCATCACCTCCCCCCGAAGGGCACCACGAAAAAACGCGCAGTATTAAGGGTGAACACCAAATTTTTGTTCACGTTCAGTCGGAGTTTCCGTCAATTCGTCCTGTTTGTATTTAGTGTTTGTGTTACCATTTCGTTGTGTCTCCTCCCTGTAGTGGAAACGGTAGCTCGAGGCCGACGCTTGGCTGCAACGTCGGCCTTCCAGACCTCAGAGTTTGCAGCTCGACGTCGAGCTGCACAGGTGTTTCCGATTGGACGTGCGCTGCTGTGGCTCCAAGACGACCTCGATCTCACAGAGGTTGGAGTGTTGCTGCAACGGGCGCCGACGCTGACGTTACAACTCATCTGAACGGGAGCACAGCGTGAATCACGGAAGATAACCGAGTGCATGCGCCTAATGAAAAGGAGGAGGGAGTTGGTTTAAAGACGAGTGGGAAAAAGGAAAGAAGCCAAGCGAACACTTGCGTAAAGGTGGAGAGGGGGAGAGTAGGCGCAAGCGTACTGTGAAGTGGATGCCACTGGATCAAGCTGCCTAATAAAATGTTTCACATCTAAAACTGAGGCTCCATTGAGGCTCGTATGTGTTTTCTCGATTTATACAACGAGCGGCTTGTCTTCGTTTCGTCAGTGTGGCTGCATATTATAGCTCAATATGAACTCTTAGTTTGGTTCGCAGCTCCCCTTCGTGTGGCTCGCCAAAAAAAGGAAAGTGAAAAGTGTGCAGAGCAGTAAGGCAGCCTCTAGTTTAACGTCTCAAGAAAACTTGACATAACTTACCAGCGGAACGTTTCTTTTTTTATGCTGAGTACATAACGAAAGAGAACAGCCAATCACGCCGACAGATGAGAATCTGGGCTCATGTGTCCTTCTGTCCTACTGTTTTCTTCTTTTCCCTGAGGCTCTATACCAGTTCTAATGCGACCAAGCAACTAGCCCAATCTTCAACAGTTGTAGAAGTAAACATCTTCTAACGTCCATTTAGTGGTGCAAATGCTAAAAGTACAGCACTTTTAGTTTGTAAAGCTGTCAGTACCAGCTTATATTTTTTTAAGTTCAAATTACTTGACTTGCGTAAAAATGCTAAAAAATTGCGAAGTAAATCAACCTTGATGAGTCGGCATCCTGGTTCATTTTTCAGTGCTTCTCACAGTTTCTTGTGCGCCTGTATACACGTGGTACGATATTTTGCTGCATGAACACGTCATTAAAGATAAATTACGCGTGATCAAGGGATATCCGGAAGAAAAACAATGCTGACCAAGCATGTCATTTAGGATAAATTTGGACCTGGTTTGTCCTAAAATAAACGCAAGAACGCTTATTCAGAACTTTCGAACTAGTGAGGGACGACTCAACAGGCGTACCATATTTGAAGCTTCAATTTCTTATTCGTTCTTACGTATCACTGCTGCTGCTGCAACCAACTCCTTTTCATATCTTTCATAGCCGATGCAAACGCGTTGACTGGCAGCCGTCGGTCCTTCTTAGTCAAGGAAGAACAGTGATGTGACACCACAGAAAGAGTAGGACTGTTTATATCACACGTGCGTCTGAGCGCTTTCATATGGAGATGCGCTTGACACATTTTCCTCTCCAATATCATACACTTTGCAGATTTGTTTCTTGGTGCTCTGCCTTGTGGCCTGAAACAATATTATCACCACCTTACAGCACTCTGAGGCTGCGTTCACAATTTGCCTCGAAGAAATCGAAAGGGGCACGACCCACCGGCAATTCACTCGCTTCGCCGCCTGACGGCCAGTTCACGTTAGCGACAAACATGCCTCGCCGTTTAACGTTCTCAGGCAGCCGTGCACGGCTGTTTCATTGGCGCACGTCTGCCGTTTTTTGCCGCTCAAAAAATGGGTCCTAGATCCATTTTTGCTCCGTTTGTCGGAGAATGACGAAGCGAGCAGCGACGAACGAGTGACAAGGCTAAGCCGCGTCGTATGCTATCGCCCTTCTGCACCGTCTGCGTCTGCCGCGGGACACATCGAGCTGCTTACTTCTTTCTCCACAGTTTTCATGCTAAGACGTACGTGTTGTTTCTAGCCTATTTTTCAGCAGTGAATTAAGTATTTTAGCCTGTCCAGTAGTTACAAAAACGCACAGCAATTCAATATGGCGTCTCCCAAAGCAGGCTTTCGAGCAAGTGGCGCCAGCTATCTAGCCTTAGCCATAAGTGAGAAACGTGGAGTGTATGCCCTCTGAGATTGGAGAAGACTTGCTTAAGACTACATCAATTATTTCAGTATCCCTCCAAAAACAGTGCCGAATCAATTTCAGTACTGTGTTGTCGAAGCTAATGAACATGAGTCTAAAGCGAATGGGAGCATCAGTATGGAGCTTACGAGCTACAGAGCACAGGGCGTCCACTTGATAGATTCGAGGCCGTCGACAACTGCATTCGGAAGGGCCGCCATGTTTGTCGGACGAGCCTGCCGTGCAGTTCGAACAGCTATACTGTGGGCGGTGCCGGCCACCGGCCTACGGCTTCTGTGCCGTTACGGCAGGCTTGCCGATAATGTGAACCGGCCCTAAGCGGCCGGACACCTCGTCGCGGGCCTGCGCAAAAAATAAAAAAAATAAATTGGTCCGAGACGGATTTTCTCGCCACGCGAAAGTAGATCCTCTTTCCGCTTCACGGCTTTGGCTGCACTAGCTGTAAATACGTGATATAAACAGCCAGACCTGATTCAACATGGCGGCAAATGCGTCGGTGGTGGCTCGCATCAGCTCAAATGGTAAACAACCCGTGCAGCACAACAAGTCTTCAAGGCCTCAAAGATGACGCGTTAATCGAGAGCTTGGTTTGAACTACCATCGCCGAGAACACTGGATTCAGACGGTGCAGCAGCAGCGAGTCGACATGCCCGAACGTGTCTCGCTGTTTGTACTCAGCCAGCTGAATGCGGCGCCGCCGTTGTATTCGCTCACGCCGTTGCTGTTGGCGTAACTCCCAAACAGTGTTTGAAAACATCGGAACTGTTCCGTTTCGGTAGTAAATCGAATTCCGTATGAAGTTTACAAGACAGAAAGCACGCAATATTGAATGAATTTTCAATAGAACGATAAAGGGGAGTGATCCTTGAAAGAAAGAAAAGAAGAAAAAATGTGAACCCCATAACTGTCTGCATCTTAGTGCGACACCTCTACAGCAGCTCTGGAGGGATAGCGGTAAGAAGGGATTAAAAGGATAGGAAGGAATCGAAGGTATAGAGATAGAGAGAGGAGCAGGAACAGAGAGACCACATACGGAAGTAAGGACAAGATAGGAAATATCGACCCGGTCGCAGCACTGCGAGGACGGGGCACCACTAAGCGAGAGCTCTTGTCGGCGTCAGGAGATGGCGTAGGGCGAGCCAGTCGGCCAGAGCTGCGCTGTCGTCGGAGATCGCGAGGGCACAACCGGTCGGCACAAAATCCAGCGAGCGAGTCCGATGGTTGTAAGGGGTAATATAAATAGGAACATTTTCGACTCGCGTGGTTGTCGTTTGGCGGCCACTGTGACGTTTTCGTTTTCGCTTCACATCTTAGGTGTGAATGTTGCCTTAACGTCATTGCACGCAGCAGCGTCGCAGTGGCGCTTCCTTACTAGTTGAGACCGTACATCTTACAGAGACCGTACATCTTACAGAGACCGTACATCTTACAGAGCCAGCGTGACCACCAACATTTTTAACACGAGGAATGCAAGATTCCACCCTACTGATCTGTGTGCAATTGAACAAAAATTACTCATTATGGTTTTCTTCATTAGGCACTACATGAAGAGTTCTCTCTCCCATAGACAAAACACATATGTGAAGTATATACGATGGGATAGTGAAAAAAGTGCTAGAGAAGAAGTTGGTAAATGGCTGGGTTGTTTGCATCTGACTGGCACTGAACAAAATAGAGGAGGCGTCTTTGCAACGCATGTGCGATACTTCACCACAGAAATCCCCAATGCGATCACAAATAAAACAATTAAGCAATCATGCTACCCAATATGCAGTCTTCCCTCCAATATTATAGCTGAAACTTCAGCTATTGACGTTATTTCGGGCTATTAGTGAACCAGCTACAGAATCCAATAAGCAGTAGTTTGGTTGCGCTGGTGTTGCTTAACGGCATTCTACTTTTCGCTGGGAACACTAGTTACAATAATGTCATACCGAACAACGACGACAATGATAGATTTTAGGGAAATGTTGCACTAAATATAAATCATGAAGTCTCTGTCCTATGTACTGGCATTCTTTGGCCATCACATGTCCCTTGCGCCAGGGAAAGCAGCATCAACACCACGAGGTCTGAGTAGCAGTCTAAATGCAATATAAGTGACGTAAAGCAAATAGAACCGAAGTCAGCTTTCAGGTCATAAGGCTCACGCGTGTCATAGTACGTCAAATGGGCTAGTTCATCGCGTATGAAAACCATTTTACTTTTCGCACGTTTGTGTTTTGGTGTAATACTGATTTCCAATAACATTACCTAATTGTTTGTTAGACGGCGTGTTTCAAAACAAAATTACCTGTTTAGAGCTTCAAGGGATTCACTGTCTGTAAATCATGACAACAAAAAGATAATCAGACCTGGAGAGCTGCGATACCGCTGTTCTATAATACCACTGTAGTGAAACGTCTATTTACAGCAAGCGTATTGTCAATACTGTCATATATTAATAGCGTTCCCAATTGAGCTTTGCTGCCTATAATATTCACCTATATGGCCATATGAACATTGTGCATATCTTATCATTCACATTATTTTATTTCTTCTTGTATAAATGAAGGCTCATCTGATCTGTTCTGGTATCTCAAAGACAGGACGGAGCAGATTTTCAAGTCGTCTATAAGAAGAACGGGATCCTGCAACTAGCTCTGAAGATTGATAAAAATGGTAAAATGTCATTATATGTACAAAGTGACATCCCTTGCGAAATTACACTGCTGAATCCAAAGATTGCTTTTATTAAGGCTTTTAGTAAGCGCAAAATGAGAAGGTTTGTGGAAAGAGATAACAGCCACTCATCTGTGACAGTCTACTTACCTAATAAACAAGTGTTTTCCGCAAGAAAAATTAACGTTTATGTGTTTAGGTATTTACGTTTTTACAATAAATATAACACACGTTTCTGTCTATCAAAGCACACGTTCAAACGTGTTCGCCTATTTCAATGAAGCGAAATTGTTGATGGCTATCTTAACGCAATGATAAAAGTAAAGAGACGAATTAAATAAGTTCTAACATCTTGTACTCAGACATTCTTTATACGATGAAGATAAAAAAGTGAATAGAAGACTATTCGGCATTTTAAGTACTATACGTATTTTCAGTTATTGTTTAGGTAACAAAGGCACAAGCTTAGAAAACCAAACCTGTACTAAAATGTTTTCTGACTAGTAGCTGTTTTCATAAATTCTTCATTTCACGTATATATTTTTCTTACAGAAGCAAGTGAGCTTGACCGACGATATACTTTTACTGTTGTCAACGTTCAACCAGAGTGCTTACTTTTGTACTATGGGCCCTTTAAAGAGAGTAAGAGCTTTATGAATTTAGTAGATTTAAAATAACGTAGGTGGTGTTTTAGGCGCTGTATACTTAGAAGAATGTAGTCCTTTATAGGCATTTTAAATCAAGCAAGATTGTAGTCTTTCAGTACTTTACGAGATGAAATCAATATTATCAAGTCACAATAAAAATTGTTTCAGCAAAGGTCACCCTGGCTGCCAGGTACACGGAAAGATGTTTGCATACCATGGTTTCTATAAGCTTTCTGGCACAGGAGGTTAGTGAGATGGGACTCAATGCCTCGCTGCTCTAGGTTTGCCCGATTTGGGTGTAAATGTAACAAATGATGTCGTTCATTCTGATGAGAGCAGGTAGCTATCCCATATCAAACTTATCAAATGGAGTAGGAAGAGGTGTGCATCGTGAGGGAAATTAGCCAGAATCGACACTGTGATGCCATCTCACCCAAGGGCCGTGCTGCGCCACATTTTCGCCAGTGCATCCCGTAAATCTGAAAGCGTGTATGGCATATGGAGCTCGGTGTTAGGGGTACTGGAGCACGTATTTTCTGGGTCTATATGGGTTAAGTTTGCGCCAGATGTATCGGTCGCACAATTCTCGCACGAGTTTATCTGTTATGGCCTGTGAGGCAGCACGACAGAGGTGGCGTCGCGTTTGTGCCCGAGCACTGCAGGGATCCAGAAGGCTACGAAATAGCCGCCAGGTGCCCTTAAAGCCCATCTGTTTCACCGCCTTCGTGCAGATGTCAACCCGATTCGAATCGGCAAGCTGCGCACAGTATGCCACTGCCTCTGCAGTGAGCGCCTGGATACGATCGCGGAGTTTTCGATTGAGTTTGTTACGTTTACAGCGCTCTGAAGCCCACGGCGAGCAATCCAGAGTTGTAAGAGGTGTGGGTCGGTTGCAGGAGTCAAAATACAGGTGTTGAGGGTGCGATTGTTTGCCCGCTGCGTATGAAAAACTTGAAATTTCCACGTCGCGTATTAGGTGGCTGCATTCTGAGTTTAGACCAGTTGCTGAACCGGGCCAGGCTACAGTATTGGCGCATTTCCTACCATGGTGTGAAGGAATTGCGAAGCAAAAACTGGTTACTTCCGAAAGTTTTCTCATGGAGCATCGCTAATGTTACGAGTAAGGGAGAGCTCGGAATTCTAGGTCTTGTGTGACCGAGTTGCGGGAACGTTTGGGCTGTGCCGGATTGATGAGCAGTGTGGGGCTAAGCGAGGAGATGAGCTCCTTGAGTTTTTGGCCCAGGCCTTCTCATAGTTGTAACCCCAGGAAGACCTGAGGGCATTGAAATCCCCGATAATCACCAAGTGTTGACAGGCGGCCATGCCCAGCGCCCTATGAAACTGATTCGCAAAGGAGGGTCCTCGCAAGGCGAGGGGGACAATACACTTTCAATGTATGAATAATCGGTAGCCGCTCCACTGGATCAGCACTGTTATGATACAGTAGTCGTATGGCAGATCCATGACAAGGTCGATCTCTACCACCGTGTACGCCTTATGCACAAGAAGGCATGCAGTGGTGCCTCCAACATAGGAGCACTATCCAGAAAGAGTTAGTGTCGCGCCAGATCTTTGAAGTGCCAACACAGGCGGATGTGGGCCAAGTGAGTAGAGGAAGAACAGAAGGTGTGAGCGCTTTTGCCTAATCACCAACCCTGTAGAGTTCCACTGTATGATCTCAAATTTTAACGACAAACTTGAAAGAGATGTACGGTTGCTCGTGATCATGAATATCTTAGGTTTTATATTTGACCCCAGTGTCTTGCTCAGAGCCTTCAAGGCAGGGAGTGGTATGGAGTCTGAATCGTCTGGCGGTGAACAGGTGGTATCCACCGTACAACGAAGTCGGGGAGCTGACCCCATACTGCTAATTGAAGGGGATCGTCAACGTCATGCTTTGGGTTGAAACTGAGTGATTGGACAGGCTCGAATAGCCAACGTGACCCCTACAACTATGCGTTAGGCAGAAGTAAGCAGTTAGGTGACTTTTTGACACTTTCATGTGCGTAAGGCGATCCTCCATGCGCTTGACACCTTCTTCACTGGAATGAATTGAGTTAGTGGGCAAGGGATCCTGAGGTGCCGCAGTAGCTATTGGAGCTTCCGGAGAAGGTGCGCGGTCACCGGAGCCGGAAGGTTATTCAGAATGTGCGTAGTGAGAGCGCTAAGGTTGGGGGTTGGCTGCGTAGCCACGAGGACAGGGGTGGCCGTACCGAGGGGCTTGAGAGGGTCCTGTTGTTGCGGAGCAAGTTGCATAGTTAAGAGTGCGAGCTGTTAGGAATTCATTGTGCTTTTGAAGCTGCACAATCAGCGGGCGAAAAGTCACCCGCTCAGGGAAGGGAGTAATGACAGAGGGGAGGCAAAGGAGCTTAGATTCAGAAACCCCTGCCCAACTGCTCACATGGCGTCCGCCGCTGGCTCGAAGAGCAACGGGAATGCTCAAGTGCTGGCCGGTTCTGAAGTGCTGAGGAAGACTTAGGTTTCCGGTATTTTGCAGCGGAGCCACCAGTCCCAGTCTCATGGGTGCCACGGCCGAGAATGCACTAGGGCGGCAATCATGTGTAGTGAGGCCTTCGGGCCAATGGTGCCACACTTGGCACATTGTGTAGGAGTTGGGTGAGGGCACTCTGGCGGCACCGACGCTTCCGCACCTAGTGCAAGCCGGGACAGTTTTGTTCTAAGGGCATGAACGTCGTCACACAGTGGTAGAAGAGGAAGCGGGGCAACTTCGTGCCATCAAAAGTCACCACCAAGGCCACGGATGCTGCGAGTTTTCGGACCTCGAGGATGGTTCCTCAAACCCAATACAGTTCCGATTTTATCTTTTCCGGGGTATCAGAAGGGTTGATGGTGATGACCCCACTGAACGTATAACCTGACCCCTTGACGTGGCCTCGGACAGGCAACTGTCAATCCCCAATTGCAGCTAGAAATCACCGAGTGCTGCAGAGCAAGATGTTCAGCTCTCACATCGGCCACCATTAAATTAGTGTGGTGGTCCGATCACCCAGGTAGCTCCTAATTGGGTCGTCGATGCGATCAGCCGGGACACATACATGTAGCTCGTCGAGAACGCGTGGTTTTATGACCACGATGTAGTAATATTGAGAGAGACGAGGTGTTTGGCACGGATGCCACTTGCGTTGCTTCGCCGGCAGTGGGGAGGAATCACATGTAGACGGACCACCAGTGGGACGCGTACCGGTGGTCCTTGCCCAGCTGGGGAATGATGGGCAGCTGCGGCATCTCGCTGTTGCTGTGACGAAGACTTGGATTGCCCTTGTTTGCGTTTCAGTATTCGCACCAGGTCCTTAAGATATTTGCTTTCTTACAGCACACCTTGTCAAGAGGAAAAAAATTCGATCAACACTACTTGCGTTGAGACACGGTCATAGCGCGTAAACACGTTGGAAGCCACCATCGCCGGGCTGAGAGCTGCCACATGGGGCTGCCCTTGCCACGCGGCGTAGATTCCGAAGAGAAAAGTGTCTCTAAGAGCCAAAGTTGGACGCATGTGGGCGAGAGTGGTGTCTAAATCAAGCGTATAACTTGTTGGTGACGTCAAATCGAGAATTGAAGGGTGTAGTGGTGGTGATCAGCAGAAATTGAAGAACGTTCACAGAGCCAATGTGGAGTGCGTCTGTCATCATTGAGCGTTCACAACGTCCCCCCCCCCTCTTGTTCAGTAGCGGCGGGCTATGAGTTCCGACCTGCTTGCCGTTATGCTCTTCAAATTTAAATTTGCCGCAATGGCAATTTATTTCTAGTGAAACTATCAGTTTTTTATTTATGAAATAACTGGACAACATACAAACTGATTTGTAGTATTGGTATAGGCTCTGCGCACATTGCATTATGTATTTTGCGTTGTAACATAATATGCCTTATAGCAATGCTTCAGCAACAATACACAATTAGTAAGCATTGCTCTTCTTTTATTCAAGAGCTCGATTGCTTTTTGTGGGGCTTTCACTACGAGACAATTGAAAACACCAGCTGCTATTCGAAAATGAAGGAAGTATGTCGCGATGACATGAGAAATTTGTTTGAAGATGATGGACCATGCAAGAATAAAGAGGCAGCGAACAAAGGTAAATATGTATGCCCTGCGCTCATTCACATAAAGATAGCATGGAGAGGAATCATATCGATGGTCACCCAGTTATAAAATATTCACTGAGAACGTGTGAATCAAGCTATAATATGCATATTTTTAAAACACTGCAAGGTCGCGAAAAAGCTCTATATATTAGTAATATTTTGTAGCAAAGCCTATAGACGTTAGCGAAGTTGGCAGGAAGATACCTAGCGTTACTGTCAAAGCACGCAACCATGAAAATAATCCCTTTCGGTTGCGTTTAACGCGCTGCGGTTACATTCTCGTGCAGAAGTAGGCTGATACCACGTAAGATCGAACGTAGCATGGCCAGTCGACCTCCTAAAATAACTTCACATTTTATATATAGTTGCTTGATGAGTAAAACAAAGATCCGCAATTAGTTATCTATGAAAAACTTTGTCGAAGCACAGTAAAACAAAATGACTAAGAAGTGGACCACCACTATTACCTTCCTTTTTTTTTCGAGTTTAGTGACAAATTACACGTAATATATCCAAGCTATATCTCTTACATTTGCATAGAAAATAATAGGCCTATTTTGATTTTTGATTACATTTTTTGCGCTTCTGTGGATAGTGTAACTACTTTCATAAAAATCCGACATACAACCCAGAAACCGAATTTTTTCCTACTTTGCAAGCCTTTCTTTGAAGAAAGGCCCATTACAGAGCAGTGAGAATTCTGCATTAAATTTTTACCTTGATTATTTATAAAGTTGCCCAAGCTTATACTAAGAACACTTTTGAGTTAAAAGATACAATTGCGCTAAGTTCAAGAAAGAGCACACATCGGCAACTTCTGGCGACGATAAAAAAAGCTTGATATTACATAAGCTTTCCCTACTTAATAACTTGCACATCAGTATATATATTAAACAAAAACAAGCGCAAATGCACCTGCATGTAGATAGATAAACTTGAGTTAGGTAGATTTATCATATTTTGTGTTTTAATTGCTAAGGTCGGAAAAAACAGCAAAGCAGATAAACTCCACTTCGTCATACTTGATTTGCTGTGGTTTGAAAATATTGGCATCCACAAGGTCTAAATATATATATATATATATATATATATATATATATATATATATATATATATATATATATATATATATATATATATATATATATATATATATATATATATATAAGGGAAAGAAGTGTATAGCTAAGGGCTCGTTTTTCCGTGTTCTGACACAATATTAATGAGACGCAATATTATTGCTCACGGCTGGTTATTTTTTCACCCACTTTTCTTTCTTCTTCTTTACATTCCAATGGTTCTAATAACTTCCCCTTTACATTCCTTGGCATTACTGTCTGTTAGATCTCATTAATATTATATGTATATATATATATATATATATATATAGTCCAGTAGATCCTCCGTGAGCGATCACAACGTGGTTTAATTCGACGTTTCGGCCTAGAGTCCAGCCTTCATCAAGATTGAGGGTGCAGTTTTTTGGTGCTCAGCTTAATAAAATCTCAAATCAGCCCTCTGATTTGAGATTGTATAAAGTTGAGCACCAACAAACTGCACCTTTATTCCTGATGAAGGCCAGACTATAGGCCTAAACGTCGAAATAAACCACGTTGTAACAGCTCACGGAGGATCTACTGGACATATGCAACGCTACGGCCACTCAACCACCATGCCTGCCTATATATATATATATATATATATATATATATATATATATATATATATATATATATATATATATATATATATATATATATATGGGATATAACAGACAGTAATGCCAAGGAATGTACAGGGGAAGTTATTAGAACCAATGGAATGTTACATTACATTCCATGGGTTCTAATACCTTCCTCTGTACATTCCTTGGCATTACTGCCTGTTATATCCCATCCCATTAATATTGTGTTAAAACACGGAAATACGAGCCCTTAGGTATACACTTCTCTCGCTTATATATATATATATATATATATATATATATATATATATATATATATATATATATATAGAAATGTGTGTGTGTGTGTGTGTGTTTGTCTCGTCAATTACCGATCAAGCTAAAAATCAGCAATGATGGCGTGCTGTCAATGTTTTCAACACCCTGGGGCCAATAGGAAAACATGAACGGTAAGCTCAATTGAGAACCTGAACTGCCGAACTGTCTCTGATTATTTGACATCGTTAGTGAGGTTTCTTTATCTTACGAAGAAAGGAAAGAGAAAAGCTGTTGGAAAAAAGCTACCATTCAGAGCAGCTTGATGAGATGACAGCCCCTTCTTAATAGGACCGCAGCAGGCAGTGAATATGACCAAATAATAAACACGGAGAAGATTGCAAAGGTGCGCAATAATAATTGAAAGATATCTGCGGCAAGATACTCTGGAATATAGATATGGGAACGAGGTGGCATCATCATTAACGTGTACATCTAAATTACATCAATTCTTCATACACCCCAGTGGTAAGCGATCATTGCTGGGCCTGCACTGAAAGATCATAAATGAAGCTCGGATTAACTATACTTCAATTGCGTCATTTATGATGAGGATCTTGTATATTAATCATCAAAAAGCAAACACAATGACCCAACACTATAATTCAGGCCATCCGCCTTGGTTTAACTCGGCCCCCTCGGACGGCCATTCGATGGCCCTGGCAAAGACATCGTTTCATAAAATAAGCACCATTGCTCCTTTTTGGTGTTCTATACGCCGGTATGTCTAAAAGCTATAGTTATAGTCTGAAAGCACTGCTCTTTTGAGAAAATTGTATTGTAAAGTTTGCTCAAACCAGTAATATTGTATAAATTATATAGAGCGACACTGTTTCACTTGGGTACCCATTGTTTGAAGTGTGATTTTTTTAGCGAAATACAACGTTTCAATGACTATTTCTCACATTCACATGTACTAGCACGATCTTTTCTAGAGTGATCGGAAGTGGTCGAAAAGTTATCTGGTAGAATTCACGTGGAATGACCCATATATACGGAGCGTCACAGTGATCATGCAGCACTATTAAAAAAAAAAGAATAGATGTTAGGCGAAGCAAACCTAGTGCATTTTATTTCCAGCAAACAGAAGTAGACGCTTCTACCTGTTTTTCGTTAGAACCAATGAATTATTTTTATGGATATATGGTAACTGAAAAACTGCACGCATAATTATAAAAATGTCAGTGCGGCAGATGTGTAAACGCTGAAATGAAATCTTTGTGTGCTACTTCCAACAACGTATTAGTGCGTACTTATTTTTTTCTCTGGATAAAGAAAGCCCGCGAACTATGAAAAATAACGTGTGACGGTGCTCATATCCGCAACAGAAAGCAATGATCTCAAATAGTTTTACTGGAAGCAATCGTTATGCCTCTTATCCGTTGCCGACGACAGCGTTTTGCGCATTGGCAAAGGTTCACGTCGTGTACCAACAACATGTGTCGCAGTTTTGCAGGAATTCCTTCCGCTTGATTGTACGTCGCTACCACCATTAATTTCTCATGGTCAACTGTTTTAATTGATAACGCAGCCGTATCCCTGTTCGGAGCGATTACAGCCTGTCTGTGTGAGATCAAGGCGACAGGTTTCACTGGACGGGAGGTAGCAAATAGCACGATCGATATTTTTAAACGCACGTGCGATTATTAGTCGGGCTATGTTAGGCATTCGCAGCGGCAGCTGCGCGCCCGAAGCTGTTATCTCTCCGCTCTCACTACCTCTACCATAGCAACATCTGCGGACGCGCGCTCTTATCCTCGCCCCTAGTAAGCAAATCATGCTGTGCGAGAGAGTGTAGGAAAGCAAGGGAACTGTGCTTCGCCGCTCCTTCTCTCAACGTTCACTTTCTCTCTTCCCTGTGCCCCACTATCCCATTCAATCGCGCCTCACTTTCGACGGTTCGCTGCCTGGGCCCCTCTCAAGGCAAGGCAAAAGTCGGTGATGGTGAATGACGGCTATGGTGCCCACTCCCGGCGCAATAAAAGCATACCCATTTCCTCACGATTCTATACGGAGAAGTGGGGGCATCTTTTTCTTTCGAAATTTTCCGTATTGCTGCTGGCTATTTCTAATTGATCTCGTTATCGGGAACTTTTTTATGATGCACGCAGCCATCTAGTAACGCGTTATTTATCGTATTTCGCGGGATTTCTTTATTCGTGCAAGATTCCAGCGGAGGCTTTCCAGCAGCGAATAATATATTTCATTCAACTGCTTGTCCCTTGTTTTATTAATGCTGCTGTAAATAACTTCAGAGTAGGACAGTAGTGATTTTTTATGGAGCGGTATCTTCCCCATTGAACCATCAAAGCTGGAAGATACTGTTATACAAATATATTGGGTTGCTTTTGAGTCCCAAGCGTCCGAAATACAGTGCAGTCGATGGCCTGCAACGCAGTATAGAGGAATTGTGTTTGGCTTCAGTGAAGTGTGGGAAGATGGAAGTAATGTCGATAATTGAGATGCTCACGATGACAGTTTGAAGTACTCGACTGGCCCGGATGCTCAGTTCCTGGCATAATTTCAGTTTATTCAGTTACTGACACTTATTTAGAATCAAAGGCAGGCCACTAAACTGACCGCACAGTAAGCACTGGGCTGTATTATTGTCGGCGTTACTTGCCGAGCCCTTAGTATACTGCGCAGATCCACATCATACTGCACAGACCGACCTCGGTCTATGCTTGCCGATCTCATCCTCAAGAACCAAGCTCCCCTCATCTCTATTTCTCTTCATTAAATAAAGCCCGTCTCATCCGATACCACCTCGTGGGACGAGTCTTTTCCATATGCTCCACTAAAGCAGCAAACATCTCTTCTTTTCTCAGATATATGTCTCCGCCTCTGCGTTCCCACACTTCGCTGTCCTCATCCTGCAAGAAGTCAGCTAAAGAATAACTCCGTCATTTCGTCAACGTACAGCTTAAAAATACTTTCTCGGAACAACAACTCCAGCTAGAGAGCTGGTTCGCTGTCGGTAGTTAGTTCACA